ACTCCTTTATCCAACTTCTATTACAGATATTACAGTCATCCCTAACTCTAGCAGATCTCGGAATAGACTCTTCAAAGGCAGCACGCACCTGGTACCCAACAAAGACTGAAGGACTTCTTGACGAATGTAATACATGTACCTGAGGTGCTTTAGCCAGGGCTCTAGCGTGCCCAGACTCTGTGCTACGACTATATAAGCCAGCGCCTAGCGCACAGCAGTTAAGTACGTCTGTTTGCTGCTTTAAAGTTTAGGGAACCTGTGCAACGAGGATGTGCCAAGTGCCAAAACGCGGAGCCAGGAGGCCAGAGCGCCACAGCCTGGCGGTGCTGCTGTTAGTCTGAGACCGCGATGATGCAGTTCGGAGGAGTCCAATGGGATGAGGGACAGGGGGCACTTCCTGCAGACGGAGCGGGGCACTTCCTGTAGATGGAGCTGGAGCCCCAGAGTCAACTTCCGGCTGCCGCTGTGCACTTCAGGAGCGTGGTCCCAGGCTCTGATTCTCTGGTGGAGTTGGCTGGGCACCAGCCTCTACTGGTGGTTCCGAATCCCAACCACGTGTGCATTTCACAAACCATTTCAACCAAAATCCTGTGGGATGTACCTGAGGGAGAGCGCTTCCTTGACTTACTGACTGGGTTCAGTTCCCAACAACTAGAGAGGAAGAGTTTCTTCCCTAGACTGACTGACACCCGTAAAGACAAAGCTGAGCTACCCTTACCCGGCCTTGTGCGGAGAGCCACAAGAGTACAAAGGCACAAAGCCGCAAGGTGAGGAAGTATACAGATTTTATATGCGTGACAAGCCGCAGGTAGCATGAATTCAAGAATTAACCATATTTATTAACACGTATTTATTTTCTGTGTGTATGTTCGCAGATGGGTAGTTTGGAGGTCAGAGGACAACCTCACATTTTGTTATGTAGGTCCTAGGGATTGAACTCAGGTTGTCAGACTTGGCCGCAAGTGGCCTTACTCAAGGACCCATCTCCACAGTCTCCCTGTTTAATAAATTCTCAGAACAATCTTTGAAACATTTTGTTCAGAGAGTATATTAGCATTTGAAGCACTTACGGAAACCACAATCTAATTTTGCACTTTAGTTTTTTTTCTGCTAGGGTAGCCTGGAATTTCTTCCATAGCGGCTTTAAAAAAAGAGTCTGTATGCGTGCTCATGAGCACGCACAGGTGCGTGTGGGTGTGCCGGCCAGAGGTATTCTTCACATTGATATTTAGACAAGATCTCTCACTGAATCTGGAGCTCACTGTTGCAGTTTCACTGGGTGGCCAGCAAGCTCAGGGATCCCCACACCTCCAAGGGTATTATAGTCGTGCACTAACTACCACCTTTACCATTTACACGAGTCCTGGGAATCTGAACTCAGGTTCAAATGCTTGTGTCAGGCATTTTACCAGGTGAGCCTCTCCCAGCCCCCATATGACTAATTTATAGACATCCCAACAATAGTACTTCATTGTATAGGTTACAATATATACTGACTATATCCTCATTAATATAGACTTAGGCTGTATTCTTTATAAGCAATGTTATGGGAAACACAATTCAAAATCTTTACATTCTTTTTAAAGCTTTAATTTTATTCAAAAATTCCTTTGAAACTTTATAACTCTTTACAGACTGTTTATAGTACTGTCAATATCAATATTTTCATAGTATTCTCTTTATACTATCAATAATTAAATTATGTTTTTACATTGTTTTAAATATATTTGTTGGGTAAATACAGCACACAGAAACTGACAAAAAGTAATGTACAATTAAAATTTTGATAGTTCTCTAACTTTTAAAGGCCATGCTGTTTAGGAGTAAAAGGAAATGTTAATAGAAAAGCCAAAAAGAAAAGATCATCACTTTCACACAACCAGTGATAAATGGTTAATGAGCATGTAAAAAGATGTTCAACAGTAAAGTTTAAAGGAAGTTCTTAAATAGGCTCTATTTACTTAAGGACAGCTAGCTTTCTTCTGAGGTTTAGGAAATACAAAAGTGTTATAGATACTTACATGCAGGTTTTTGCATGGACACAAGAGGCAAACATCAAGGAGATTCATCAGATTCTAAGACTTTTATCTTGGGAGTGCTGGGGCCTAACCCAGCCCATGCACATGCTGTGCAAATGCTTGACCACTGAGATATATCTTTAGTGCTTGTGTTTTGAGATAGGGTCTTAATATGTAGCTCAGGCTGAGTTTGAACTTGTGGTCCCCCTGCTTCAGTCTTCTATGCAACACAATGCCAACTTCAAGGTTGTTTTTTGGTTGTACAGCATTACTATTATTGTAGGGCTGGAGAGATGACTTAACAGAACATACTACTCTTACAGAAGGCCAGAGTTCAATTCCCAGCACCCACACTGTGCAGTTCATTGCCTGTAACTCTAGCTCCCAGGGAGATCTAACAACTCTGGCCTACATGGACCGACCCCTCCCCTAACATAACTTAAAAGACATGTATCTATAAAATTACTAAACAAACAAAAAACAACACAAATTTTTATCATAATTCTAAGTGCATGATAGTATACACCTTTATTCCCAGCATGGGGGCAAGAGCTGAGGCAGAAGATAAGCTAATTACGAATTTATAAAGATATGACATAGACAGCTACTGTCTCCTCTCCTATTTGCTTATATTCTGCTTGCAGTGGAAAAGCCATATAACTGCATCTTCTATATATAGGAAAACTGAGTGGATGGTGATACCCAATCTTCTATTATACTCTGTATCTGGATATTAAAGGCAGGATACTACCCAAAGAGAAATGCCTGTCATCATGTAGAAAGCCTGGAACAAATATCTAAGTAATTCAGAATACATAGGGCTTCAAATTTTACATTTTTTCATTAAGAATGAGATATCCTATCTATATGCTTCCTTATTAAACTGAAAAGAATCTGTTTTAAATTTTAACATGAAGCTGTTTAGGTACTGACCTCAGTATATAGCCCTCAAATTATTTGGGAAAAGTATCCATGACATCAACTTAAGCTTGTTTGTAAAGGCTGAAGAAAAAAATAGGTTTAGCTTTGCATGGTTTTCAGTATTTCAAAGCACTACATTTACTTCTCTTACACATTGGTTTCCCTACAGAAAATGGTATCGTTGCTTCTAGTCGGCTTCCTCAGTCAGACAGGCCAAGGACTGCTAGGTGTAATTCTGACATCTATCTCCCCCTTTATCCCTTTAGCTCTGCACAAAACAAGAACCTCTCCTGCTTCCTTTTAGTTTTGGCCTAAGATACACATGCTAAGTAAATTTGGGGAAAGCCGCTCACAGGGGGCTTACTGAGTCAAGAAGAACCTCTTTTTAACCTTCTTTTGTCCACACTTTGCATGTGATAGTTATAACTTCAGCAGTCATATGGCCTTAAAAACTGACAGCATGGGCTATGATGATGGAGCCCAAAGGCCAGAGATTCAGACTGTAGGGATAGCATGCATCATCTTTGACTCCAGCCTTTTCTATTGAACAAGAAAAGTATTTGTAAACCAAGTGGAGCAAAACCAAGTTGTAATCACTACAAGGGTCCATCTATTTTCCCAGAACGGCATGACTTAAGAAGCCTTTTTCTCGGAGAACTATAACCTGTGCTATTCCCAACCCAGAAGCAATGTCTACCATTCTGGTAATGTGCCTGGAAAGACTCCTCCAAGCTTACTTTTCATCACTAGCATCAATATGACAAAATGACCACAATCATCTTGCCAACCCTAATTTTAACGGGGCAAAATTATTTCAAAATAAATATCATTTAAAGTTAGCATCATTGGCATCAAAGGGAAAAAGTCATTTTCCCCAAGGGACATTCATTAAAAAGTGTTTTTCAAGCAGTCACTGTAATGGCCTAGAGTTGCCACATAAGAAAGCTGCTGCTTAGATTCAACACAGGACATTCAAATGACTCATAATGAGTCTTATGCATAGTTTAAGGAAAACTTTGATTTATAACTTAAACAATGTTGATACTGTGGTTCAAACAGGTAGGAAATGTAAAAAGACACGAGCTAATTCATGAGGGGCAGACTCCATAGTTAAACAGCAAAAAAAAATTCTGAATACACTTTCTGAAGTGTTATCACTGATAGTTCATGGGTAAAGTGGGTATAAGGCCACCATGTGGGTGAAACCAACAGAGAAAATGTTTAGCTAACCAATGTTAAGACTTTTGAGAATGTGTATTTCCAAGCAGTATCAGATTTATCTTGGGCTTAATTTTTAAAAACTTGTGTATGTGTGAACATATGTGGATCATTTGTGTACGTGAGTCTGAGGAGGCCAGTACAGGGTATCAGATCCCCAGGAACTGGAGTTACAGATGGTTGTGGACTGCTATGTAGGTGCTAGGAACTGAAAATGGATGGATCCTCTAAAAGAGCAGAGTGTTAACTGCTGAGTCTTTACTCAAGCCCCTTGGGATTTTCTTTTTCAGTGTGTGTGTGTGTGTGTGTGTGTGTGTGTGATGTTTGCATGTGTGGGTATTTATGTATATGGGTGCATGTGCACTTAAATCAACATTAGGAGTCTTCCTTGATCATTACACCAACTGCTTTCCAAATCCAAAGTTTGTTGATACAACTAGTCTGGCTAGTATTGCTCTAAAAATCCCATTTCTGCCTCCTGAGGGGTGGACCACAGGTGGGCCACTATACCCGTTTGACTTCTACATGGGAGCTGGGGATTCAAAACATTGTTCTTACACTTGCATAGCAATTGGTTTAACCACTGGGCCATTTCCTCAGCCCTCTTATTTGATAAGAGTCTTTTGCTTTAGTACTTGCAAATATATCAGTTTGCTCATTCTCTATAAATCTGTAGGCACTTGACTTGTTGATTTAAAAGATTTCATTCATACAGAAGGCTATTACTTAGAGATAAATAATCTTGTACTTAATCACATTAAAAGCTTTGAGATGTCCTGTAGTGAAGAACTGTTTAACTCCAATCCCACAATCTAAAGTGAAATTATTATTGTCTAATTATGGCTTTAAGTAAAATAAAGGAGAGGGAAGCAATGGAGGCAAACAGCTTCCAATTTGGCCTCCAAGAATTCTGATGCCATGGTGACTTTTTACAAAGCACTGTTTGCTTGTCAAATAACTTTCTGATATCAGAGAAGCTCATCAAGCCACTTTGTTTTTGTGGTGATGTCTCTGATGCTGAAAGAGACCTGACTTCTGCCTGAAAGCTTCTTTTGCATTCACTACACTGGTAGGGTTTTTCTTCATTGTGGATTCTGACATGCTGATCGAGGTGTGAGTTTAAGCGGAAGGCTTTCTGACATACTTTACATTTGAAAGGTTTTTCTCCAGTGTGAATCCTGTGATGTCGAATAAGGTCTGAAGTCAAACTGAAGGCTTTCCCACACTCATTACAATAATGCCTTTTGAAGCGACCATGGATTTTCTGATGGTGGGAGAGGAGTAGGGCCTTACTAAAGACTTTTCCACAATCCTTGCATTTACAGGGCTCCTCCTGATTGTGAGTTTTTTGGTGTCGATTAAGATGAGAGCTTCGCCTAAAGTTCTTTCCACAATAGATACACAGAAAGGGTTTTTCTCCAGTATGGATTCTGAGATGCTCCAAAAGACCTGCATTCTGGCTAAAGACTTTTCCACACTCTTTGCACTTGTAAGGCTTCTCACCAAGATGGATTTTCTGATGTCTGACGAGGTGTGAACTCCTCTGAAAGACTTTCCCGCACTCGTGGCAGAGGTGACCTTTTTCTCTAGAGAGGACTTCTGGATGTTCAGTAGGAGTAGAACTCTGACACACTACAGATTCACAAGACTTTTCTCCTGCATGTGCCCTTTCATGTTCAGTCATGTCTGAGTGCTGGACAAGTCCCTCCTTAGTTTCCAAGCATTGGCTGCTAGCTTTCTCCTTGGGCATGGCTGGTTGCTTTTCCAAGTGGGCCTCAATGGGTTCAGATGTTGTACAAGATGATTCTATTCTTCCACAAGAGTCTGTCCTTACAATGAGTTTTCCATGATCATTCCTTGTTTCCTTACCTGAAACATTAAATATATATATATACATCACTACTTATTTCATTTCTGGTGGTCAGGAAAGGGAATCTGCAAATAGGAAGAAATATTTAAATCAAGTCATGTGTATAAATTTAAAAGAATTAAAAGAAAACATTTCATGTGTATCACATGCACACAGTGCCCATGGAAACCACAGGAGTATCCAGTTCCCTGGAACTGCAGTTACAGATGTTCGGAACTGCAATGTGGTGCTGGAAACTGAAACTAGGTCCACTGCTAAAGCAGCCAGTGCTCTTAACACTTGAGCCATCTCTCTAGTCCCCCACAAAGTTCTCACACACACACACACACACACACACACACACACACACACACACACACGGAATGGTTTATAAGAAACTGTGATTTTGATTTTTAGTTTCTCTTGAGGAAAGGTTTCAATATGCAGAACAACGTGGCCTAATATAAACCCTCTTCCCTCAGCCTCTCAAGTCCTGAGATTTATAGTCTTGTGCCAGCTATCCAGCTTGACATCCAAGAAATAGTTAACTATGATTGGCTTGGGGGAAGGATAAAAGTCATGGTGGGAGGTAACTTACTTTAAATGTTCTAAATTGTATTATATGATATATGTCACAGACAGAAGCTACTAAGCATGACTGTATATTCTTGATCATGATTTGTCATATGGGGAACAAGAAACATAAAACTGTAAAACTGGGTCACCAGAGACAATCACAGCACAAAGGGATGGTACTTTGAAAACTGAAAATGTGTTGGCATAGTGACAATTTATCATGAGTAGAATGTAATCTTAGGAAAGTAGTTTAAGTCCTTATCAATAAATCAACAGCGCTAAGACCACAAGACCTTGAGAATAATGAATCTGCAAAAACATTACATTGTTGAAATATGAAAGCTGGGTGGTGGTGGCACATGCCTTGAATCCCAGCACTCAGGAGGCAGAGGTAGGTGGATCTCTGTGAGTTCAAGGCCAGCCTGGTCTACAGAGCGATTTCCAGGACAGGCTCCAAAGCTACAGGGAGACCCAGTCTCAAAAATAAACAAACAACAAAAGTATCTCCCTCCAAGAAGGGAACAGAGGTTCCTTAACCTACTCATATGTTGCAAGTTTTTCTAAAATACTAAACAGGAAAGAAGACAGCTGATGTAAGCTTTAGAAATAAGAATAGCCAATCATTAGTAGATACTGTTTACTGAGGGTTGGGGACTGTAATAGAATCAAAGCACAATACAAAATCCTGCCCTTTAATTGTGGAAAGAGGAAAAGAGAAGTAAGCCAGAAACTACAACCTGATATAACATAACTGTACATGTGGAACACTGACCCAGATTCAGAGGAAGGATAAAGGGAGAGCAGGGGAGTTGAAAAAGTAGGGAATATAATGAATGAGGCAGAAGAGACCTAGAAGAGAGAAACTAGAAGGAGGAAATGGGCAATGAAATAGGGCATGTCAGAAGTGCCTGTGAGTGGGAGGCACAGGACATCTTGTTATTGAACTGGGGGATAGGGGTGGGGTGCTGCATCTCTTTGTTCCTCTCCCCAACATGGCCACCATTTTTAGATGTCAAAAAAAAGGAACAGCATTACCTAGTTTACTAAGGGTTTTAAGGAAGGGGAAACAATACATTTGTATTTAAGCAACAGGAAAGAAAAAGAAGGTAACTTAATGGAAATATCAAGAAGACACTTTGGGATTTCAAGCCAAGACTAGTCTACATATTTGCCCAGGAAGACCCTATGTGTACACACACACACACACACACACACACACACACACACACACACACACACACACACACACACACACAAAGACACTAAATGGGGAAGGGAGAAAGAAAAGGGTTGTATCACACTAGAAAGAGAAAAATACACCGATTAGAACAGTAGCAAAGGAGAACCCACAACAAAACAAAACATCTAACAAAAACAAACAAAAAAACCCACACCAATTAATCGCCCATCACTTCCATTTACAGTGACTTGAAGGAGGTAAGAACATAAGGAAGGTCCAGGTCCAGATCCACTCCTCCTTGGTGTGTTGTTGATTTAAATTGTTTAGAGTGGTTGATCTTTCAATTCTTGACTGTAGTACTGACTTAAGTTTATGGTATATACAAAAAAACTCACTGTCTAGTGAAGCTACAGTGTGGATTGTATATATAAGTTATGCCACAACAGTTTTGATAAAATCAAAACACAAAAAGCTAAGAGTGCCAAGGCAGAGAGCACTGTGTGGTCTACAATACCTCAAATTCGAAAGGATGCCATTTAGTTCTTACCCTTCTCCTTCTCAGGCTTCTGCACCCCATGCTCAGGCAGGACCAGTTGCTGCTGCACTTCTTTGGGAGGGACTGTCCCTCCAACCAGTACAGTCTGTCTGCTTCCTTGGGTTGGCTCCTAGAGATAAGTACAGTTAATTAGGAAAATGGTTTACAAAGACCAGCTTCGGTGTTAGAAAAGAGGGGATGGCAAGGGTGAGGTGAAGCTGATACTGAACAGCAGTGAGCAGTGCCCCTCCACTGCTGTGCTCATGTCCACCTATGTGACCTGGGGGTTCACTTCTTACTTTCCTGCAAAAGGACACCTGTACCCCTTACCTTCTGTTGTCCTGCTTCTTCACGGTCTCGCTGCAAATCTTCTAGTATTCCCACCAGGTCCTCCCCAGTCTCTGGGTGGTGCTCGAGCACCTGGACCAGCAGATCTCTTGGCAGGATGGTCAGGAACTGCTCCAGCACCAGCAGCTCCAGGATCTGCTCCTTGCTGCGGGTCTCAGGCTGCAGCCACTGTCTGCAGAGCTCCCTGAGTCGGCGTAAAACCTCTCGAGGTCCAGTGCTTTCCTCATAGCGCAGCTGCCTGAACTGTTTGCTCAATGGTTCCTGCCCAAGGCCTTTTCTGTTTCCTTGAACTTTGAATCCCTGTTCCCAAGCACAGTAGTTTTAACAGTGGCTTAAAGCACAGACTCATCTCTTTTGCTACCTTAAACTTTGAGTCAGATTTCTACTTAGCTCTGCATGCATGCATATATATAACCTAGTCATTTAAGGAGTGTCTCTCTGATAATTCACAAATAGCTTGACAGTCTCTAATTTATCTAGCCTTGCTAGTACCTCTACTCCTCTTCTTTTCTTTTCTTTCTTTGAGACAGGATCTCTCGCTGGCCTGTAGTTTGGTTTGTAAATCGGGCTGGCCCCAGAGAGATCTACCTGCCACTGAGTGCTGGGATTAAAGTCCTAAATCACAATGCACAGCTTCTAGTCCCCCTTTAAGGCTAATGTCACCAAGATAAGAATAACTAAGTCCTTTTCAAGAGACTAAGAACTTTGCCGACAGACCACCCGTGCTAGGATCCACAGGCACCAGCATTGGCTGCCTCAGCTGTAATGATTCTGTTGGAGCTAGCAGGACCTTACAGAACCAGCATGAAATAATGACTGATCAGTTTGTCCAAGACAGACTGACAAGGCTATGTATGCTATCTGCCTCTCTTCCTCTCAGCTTTTGTACATTTAATCCTGAAACTCTAGTCAGGGCCCTAAGATAGGGATTAGGGCACCATTGTCCTGTTTCTTTCCAATATGGACATGCTAAGTAATAAATTCCTTTCTTATTTCACTACCACTCCACCTCTCTCACTAGACTGAGTGGCAAGTCACTAAATTTAGTCTGTTAGGACCCCCAAGGTCAGACCTCTGATTCCATGAATAGGAATGATCCCCTCATTCATTACCTGAAGCTCCTCCTTCAGACTCAGAGGAGACAAAGAGTATGCACGCTTGCTAGGGTGAATCTGAGAAGAGGTATGTGTGGAACAGAATATGATCAGAACATGTTGAAAACTCTCAAAAGAACTTTTAAAAAGAAGAATGCACATGAATACACACTCACCAAGGCCAGTGCCATCCCTTGCTTCAGGTACTTTGTTTTGGAGAACTTTCTTTTGAGTGTATCCTGAAGGACACTCCTAAAAACAGAAGTCACAGAAACAGCAATGCTAGCTGTGATGTTATTTTGTTTATGCTCTAATAAATAAAGCTTGTCTGAGGATCAGAGAACAGAGCTAGCCATACTAGTTAGCCACAGAGGCCAGGCAGTGGTGGCACACACCTTTAACCACAGCACTCCAGAGACAGAGTCAGGTGGATCTCTGTGAGTTCAAGACTACCCTGAGCTACATGAATTTGATCCAGTATAAAAGAAAAAAAGAGCTCCCACGAAGGTGGTCCCAGCATTTGGGATCACACATCTCTAATCCCATCACTAGGGAGGTGGAGATAGGAATGATATAGCTGGAGGAACATAAGGTGCGAGGAGACAGGAGCTCATGACAGTCAGTCTGAAGCAGACTGAGGCAGCAGTCTGAGGACAGGATCACCCCTTTGGTCTGAGCATGGGTAGAGGTAAGAACTCTAGTGGCTGGTCACTTCTCTAACCATTCAGCTTTCACCCCCTAGTTTTTATTATTCCATGCTACAGCAACAAATGATCTTTCCTTAGGATAGTTTTCTCCAAAACATTTATTCCAAAGTGTATATAAACAAAGTGAGAAAACTTTTATAAGGATACCACACAACCTAGCTACAATAGTAAGAGGTTTGAAAAAAAAAAAAAAAAAATCACCAGTTTTTGTTTGTTTTCAAGATGGGGTTTCTCTGTGTAGCTTTAGAGCCTGTCCTGGAACTCCTCTGTAGACCAGGCTGCCTTGAACTCGAAGAGATTTGCCTGACTCTGCCCTCCCAAGTGCTGGGACTAAAAGGGTGCACCACCAATGCCCAGTTTGAAAAACTTCAATTTTAAACTCTCAAAATAAACAATTGAGAACCACAAGTGAATGTTAAAACCACTGGGGCAAAAGAGAGAAGAACAGAATGTTCAGTGTTAACTACCACACTGTGTAGCTGCAAACATGACCAAATGATCAAACTTAGCAATAAGATACCAACACCAACTATCTTATCACCTATGGAATACTTTTAATAATGGAATACTTTTAATAAATATTATTTATCATGAATTTACGGAGGAAACCTTTTCAGAAATCCAGAACTCTAGTCCATCTACAACAGGGATGGATCCAATTTCCCCAAAACACAGAGCTAATGACACTGGGAGGTTAATGTTCTAGATTAAGGAGATACAACTAAAGAAAACATAGGAAATTGGTGCTTGCATTAAAAACAAAACACCAAACATCTAAAACCAGGCCTATACTCCAATACTCCACAGGCTGAGGCAGAAGGCTTGCATGTTTTGAGGCCATCCTAGGCTACATAATGGGATCCTGCATTCATAAATAATGAAATTTAAAATCTACTACTAGTATTCTTATTTTGTTTGTGATATGGTCTTGCTATGTTACTCAATGCAGCCTCATATATGTAGCTGAAACAGTCCTCTCTGTTTCAATTTCTCTCTCAAGTAACAAGGATGTGAGAGGCTTACACCACCATTTGCTATTAGGAGAGGTTGAAAAAGTCCAAGAAAGTGATGCTTATTAGCAAGTAAATGTAGTTTGGTATTATGGTGCCTAATTTACTCTTGGACACATGGTATGAAGATATTTGGTCCAACATTACTTTAGATGTTTCTGTGTTTTGGGATGAGATTTAATATTTAAATTAATGGACTGTAAACTAGTAAAACAGATTGTCCTTCATACTGCAGTGGGTCTCCCCAGATCAGGTGAAGGTCTGAGAACAAAAAGACTGATCCCCTTTCAATCAAGAGACTTCTTCTCTAACAGCTTTCCAAATCAGATACCAGTGTTTTACTTCTGCCTTCAGCTCTGGAACGAGACTTCTATTCTTCTGGGTGCTAAGCCTCTTGTCTTCAGACTTGAACTAAATAATCAACTTTTTGGTTCATAGGTGTTTGACTTTCACCAGAATTAAATCATTTGCTGTTTTATTTTTGGCATGTTAATTCCCCCTGAAGATCTTACGACTTGATAATCATGAGACAATCTTTATAATTAGTCTTTGACTTTTTTCCTATTCTTCTTAAAATAAGCATTTATTAACTATGCACAACAATGAATTTCATTATGGAGTGTCATACACATGTATTTCGATCAATTGCCCTCCACCCCCACAATGATCCTTTTCCCAAACAGTCCCCCTTCTACTTTCATTTTTTAAAATAAGTCTCTTTTTAGACAACTACTAACCAAAATATAAAAACAGGTCCCAAATATAAAAACAGGTCCCATTTCTTTAAATAACTCTAATGAAGGGGCTGAAGAGATGGCTCCGTGGTTAAGACAACAGCCTACTCTTGCAAAGGGTACCACTGAGGCCTCCCGAACCCTTGCTAGGTGGCTCACAATAAGGGCAACTTCAGCACCAGGAGGTCTGAGTACCTTTCTGGCTTCCATGGACAAGTATACTCCAGTGCACATACCCAGACACATATAGACAATTTAAAAGCCAAATCTTTTTTTTAAAGGCAGTAAGAACTCTAGTACTGGCATAACACATAAATTAGTGGTGACTCTAATTAATCAAATTACACATGTGTTTAGTAATTGGATAATTAGATGAAATATATTATTAAATAGATAAGTAATTATATTAAAAATGTGATTAAATTTAAGAACACAATACACTGTAGTTTAACCTGTCTTTGGGAAGGTCCAGCTACCTTGAGATTTAAGCCAGAAAACTGACCATTCCTTCCTCCTCCTTTCATACTGTTTGTATATAATTAATCAAGTTGCTTTTAAAAAATTACATGTCTGGGTGTTTTGCCTGCATGAATGTCTGTGCATCACTTGTGTGCCTGAAGAGAGCCAGAAAAGGGTGTAGATCTCTTGAAACTGGAGTTATCTACCAATGGTTGGGCTGCCATGTGTGTGCTGAGAATTGAATCTCAGTCTTCTAGAAGATTGGCTAGTGCTCTTAACTGCTTTGTCATCTCTCCTACAGTTCCCAGTTCTTTTGATTCTACAGCTTCATATCCCTCAAATACATCCTTCTTGTAGTTTCTTGATGACAAGGTCTCCCACTTGGACTACTGTAAATCAGCAATCCTCAACCTGCCAGTCTTGACTCCTTTGGCAAAACAGTTACACTACAATTTAGAATAGCAGCAAAATTAAAGCCACAAAGAATCAATGAGAATAATTTTATGGTTCGAGGTCACCTTAACATGAGAATTGTATTAAAGGGTTGCAGCATTAAGAAGGTTGAGAACCACTGTTCCATCTGGTCTTCCTGACATCAACCTATTTCCCACAGTGCAACTGTGATCTTCCTAAGGAGCAAATGAAGCATAGCTCCCTTGTGCATGTTGCACATAATGACTTGCCATCACCACTAAGATCAAGTTTAAAACATTTAATATGGCCTAAACTTTTCTTAAGCTTTAATGAATGGGTTCTTATAAATCTCACTCTTATATGGAAAAAACCTTAAATGTTTTTCTTCTTATTAATGACCAGTCAGTCACACCTCATGTCTCAGCATAATAAACAAGCTGAAAGAGTTTCTCCACCTGCTTTTCACTCACTAATTCAATCTCCATAGAAACCCATTAAGAACTACTTTTAACCTTGTACTGCAGACAAAACCTGACATGGAGAGTTGAGGAATTGACACAAGGTCTTAAGGCTGAGCTTCATATCTTTTGATTAAAAAAAAAAAAAAAAAAAAAAAAAAAACAAACAACAACAAAACCAAAAAAACCCCACAAAAACCAAAACAGAAAACATCAAAAAAAAAAAAAAAAAAAAAAAACCCAACCAAAAAAACCCCAAAACCTGTTTTTAACCCATAGACTTAAAATTTTGAATTTATTTTTCCTTTTCTGCTGTGTGCATCTGATCCAGAAGCCAATGCTGTGGGCTCCATCCAGCCCCAACGCCCACAACAGTCTACACTTCCCACCAGAATTCCTGCCAATTTTCCTCTAAGGGTCTCACTCTGTAACCACTAAAGGCAATCCTCCTGCCTCAGTATCCCAAGTGCTAGGGTTATAGGTATTAGCTATTTCATTTCTGTCCGCCCTCCCATCTATTCCTATTGTGGATTTCCAATTAACAAATGTTTCTCCCCAAAACCAAGTTCCTCACACACCAAGTGCCCAGGTTTCCTTCCCGGTAATATTATTGACTGCGCTCGAAAACATCCTGGTGACCTTGTTATTCCCTAAATAAGGGAAACAATCTCCAGCTTTCGGGCCTAATGTGTTCGCTGTTCTCTCGCGCATGCCTCTTAAAGCCACCTACGTCTATCCATCTATCTCCGATTATCTACTCAAATATTCTGTTTACTTACAGTGGAAACTACTTAAACATGCAGCAGAAGCCATGTGTGGCAGCGCCAGCCTATAAGCTCAGCGCTTGGTTCAAATCAAGGGTATCCTCCGCCAAAGGAGTGAGGCCAATATGGGCTTTACGAAACGTCCTCAAAACTAAAAACAACCAACAAAATAAAACCGACAGAAGCCAGGCGTGTTGGCTCACGTTTGTAATCCCAGGCAGGAGGATATTCAGGAGTCTGAGGTCAGCTTAAGCCATACCGTGCGTTCCAGGAAAAGCACGAAAATGCCTCAACAACAAACTGCGAGCTTACTACGTCCTCAGCTTCATCCCTCTCCCACGCCCGAGAACCGTAGCTTCCGCCACGCACCCTTCCTGGATTTCCCAGCTCCGAGGTGTGGATCGCTTCCGTGTGCCAGCCAGACACGCCGCTCCAGAGGCCCAAGGTTGCCGTTCTGACCCCGCTGGAACCCGATCACCTTACGTCCTCTCGCCCTGGCCGCAGGGTCAGTCACATGTCCCCTCAGTGGTCCAGCCCTGTAGCTTCCGGCTCCACTCTAGGACGGTGGGAGGACCATGACTCGACTCTGTGGTGCCCTATCTGGGTTTAGTTGAAACATTCCATTTACACGAAACAGGCCACTTCATTGGACTATTTTCACATACAGCGTCATTTCTTACGGGAACAGTAAGACTCTCACTGTAACTCCTGCCACCAAGAAATGGAGACAGGAATAGACTCTTTAAGTTGGGCTTTAGTCAAACGCTGGCATGATCATGAAGGCTTCCAAAGAAGCCACCTTAATACCCCACCTCAAACCAGAAGTTTTCTAGCGAGGCAAACTAAGTTAATCATTAGTGCTCAAGTTAATTCTTTGTCCCCCACCTTTTCACTACCGAGTTCCAAAGACTCCTATCTGTGTCTCCCCTCTTGTTTGACTTCTGAACCTAGGCATCCAACAATGCTTAGTCTGGTTAATGTCCCATGGTGTCAGATATGAGCTCTGCAGTCCCCTAGGCCAATGGGATGTAAGGTTAACTCAGAACAAACACAGCATTAAGATGGCTTGTGTGCAGATTAACTCAAAACAAACGAAAACATTTTGTTTAAGTACAGAGTCCTTCCTATAGTGTCTGATACAAAGTCCCCTACCATCGTCCTCTCCCCACCATTCTCCATTATTATCCATTGACTTCGATAAATGGGATACAGTCTGAGGTTCATCTCCAATCATCAGAGTGAGAACTCCCAATAGGAATCCACCTCTTTCATGAACAACTGAAAAGACTTTCGCAAGCTTGTAATTTCTACAGCAGGCACAGATGTCAACACCCTCCTTAAGCCCATAAATATTCCTGGGCCCATTCAAAACTTCCTAACAGGTTTAACTGTGAGATAAAAATTTGGGATCAAATTCTACAGTAATCTGACATGCCTTGGAATACTTTCAATTGCCTGAGAATTGAAATGGTTTCTCCATTTGTCTAATTGTCTGTTAGTGCTTTCCAAACAGTCTCCTCTTTCCAGGTTGGAGGAAGAAACCCAAAAATTTCTTAGCCTGCTGACAGATTTGGGCCTTGCAGGCTAATAGTCTCCTGGTTTCTAGTTACCAGAAAGTCACTGACATCCTGCTGTAACATGTCCCCCTTCAATATTAGGGCTTTAAATCTTAACTAGTAGATGGTCCAGAGATTAAGAGCTTCTGGGCTTTTCTGGAGGACCCAGTTCACAACTGTTTGATTTTTAGCTTACAATAGCCTGTAACTCCAGCTGCAGGGTATCCAGTGGTTCTTCTCATGCCCTGCAGGCTTGAGAAAACTCCCCCCCCCCTCTCTCTCTCTCTCTCTCACACACACACACACACACACACACACACACACACACGCACACACACACACACACACACTTTAGAAAGAAAACTGCTGCCTCTTGACCCAGCATCTATAAGGATCACTTAACCACACCATCCTCCTCACTCCACCTAATCCCCAAAATTGTTGAGTCTGGGTCCTGCCACTCAAAAATGTCTTGGGGAATGTGGCTCATCAGACTGTACTTGCAAAGAGCCGAGTGCAAAGCTTGCAAAACATCAAGAACTGCCTTGAGATCTTATACAAATGCACTCATGAGAGTGGGGCTTCTCCATTAGGCATACATTGGTAATGTGTGAATATATTACAGATAAGTCCTATTTCAGAAAATAACCTAATCCTATTTCTAAAAATTTTAAATTACCATACTGTTTCTTTTTCTGTGCCACTGGCCCTCAGTTAGTTCAGACTTCATGATTTATCTCGGATAGAATTTCACCAGGCCATACCCAGCAGACACTTTTTCCAGAATGAGATACTGGGAGTGTTCCAGAGGAACCTGAAGACGCGGCTGCTGCTAGTCTTCGTGGTGGGGTGGGGGGAGTTTAGTTGGCTGTACTTGGTGGTATCTGGGGATTTGGAATATAGGGGGAATTTGTGTGTTAGCTAAGTTCATGGGCAACATGCTTGCTGAAGATCTTTATAATTGTTTTAAATTATTTTATGTATGTGTAGGAGTTTTGTTTGCATGTCTGTCTATGTATCACTTGCTGCCTGGTGCCTATAGAAGCCAGAAGACATCATCAGATTCCCTGAGGTACAGGTGATTGTGAGCTACCATGTGGGTAATATGGATCCAGCTTGGGAAGAATAGACAGTGCTCTTAACCACTGAGCTGCCTCTCTAGCTCTACATTTTGAAGGTCTTCTAAAACCTTACTGTTATTTCCTCAACTAGTGCTTTGATTCCAAAAGGCCTTTCTTCTCGGAAGATAATGGAGGGTCTGACTCTTCCTACACTCACAGTTTTACACTGTAGGACAATATCAACGGAGAGGGGGTCATGTCCATACTCTTTCCTACCTTTTAAACTTCTTTCTAATGTCAGGGATACTTTGTGAAACATAGATCATATTCACATCACATTTTCCAGGACTTTAGGATCCATATTGGCAATTGCTGATATAATTCAAAAAGTTGCTTCAAGAATTTGGATGTTCTTCATTGGATTTTTTTGTTGTAATATCAGAACTATGCTCAGTCCTAGATTTGGGATCTCTTTCCAAGTCCTTTGAGGATACATCTTCAATACCTTCCTGAATGGCTGTTGCCTGTTTCGATTTAAATCCAGTTGTCTTCGAGGCTGGGGGCTGGAGAAAGAGGGCTGGCCAGGTTGTTTTGGTGCAGTGAGTATCTCTACATGGGGAATGGGCTCCCGAAGTCCGTTCATGCACTATGGATACATACTGGTTCCATTGCTAGAGGCCCCATAGACTGCCCAGTCCTCCTAACTGACACCCATGTTCAGGGGGGCCTGGTTTGGTCCTATGTTGTTTCCCCAGCTGTCAGACTGGTATATATGAGTTCCCACTTGCCCAGGTCAGCTGTCTCTGTCCCAGTATGGTCTTGACCCTTTTGTAAGTCACTCCTCCCTCTCTACAACTGGATTCCAGGAGTTCTGCTCAGTGCTTAGCTGTGGATCTCTGCTTTTGCTCCCATCAGCTACTGGATGAAGGCTCTAGGATGGCATTTAAGGTAGTCATCATTCTTATTATAGGGGAAGGACTCTTAAGGTAGCCTCTCCACTATTGCTTAGATTCTTAGTCTAGTCAGTGTCATCCTTGTGGATCTTTGTACAATTCCCTAGTGCCAGATTTCTCTGTAAACATATAATGGCTCCCTCTATTGATGTATCTCTTTTTTTGCTATTCATCCTGGACTCAGTCCCTCATTTTCCCCCTCCCCCCTCCTCTTCTCCCCTCCTCTTTCTTCAAGCTTCTTCCCTCTTCTCCCCATGCTCCCAATTTATTCAGGAGTGTAGGGGACACTTCTTATATAAAGCAAAAATAAATACATTGTCAACCCAAGATCCCCTTTGATGGTAAAGTATTAAAAGCACCTCTGTAAGAATCTAGCTGAACTTGATATATGGGGAGTTTATCTTTTGTTTTCCAAAGATTCATGTGCTTATGGCTTCATTCCAAGTCTGAGGTATTAGTGTGTTGTGTGAAAACTTTCATGAAGGGTCTAATTGAAGAAATCTAGGTCACCAAGGGCATGCATGCCCTTCAGGAAATACTAGGACCTCAACTCATTTTTGTTTCCTGGCTGCCATGAAGTGAACATAAGTCTGCCAAATGTTCCCTGCCACAAAGCCCTGCCTGTCATAGGCCCAAAGCCAGAGATCTTTGAAAGTGAGTCAAAATAAATCTGTTCTACTTCTAAGCCACCAAAACCTAACAGAACATTTGTAACGAGGTGTAGACTTGCTGTAAGTATTCCTGATGATGTGGTACAGAAGCTTTTGGAATTACTTTGATGGGGGAAGGAGCAGGGTTAGGTTTGGAAAACCAGGCCCTCTTGTGATGATGTTTTGCCTGCCACAGGCCCAAGACAAGCATTTTGCCAAATCTGGGCCAGCAAAATGGCTCAGAGGGGTAAATGCACTTGTTGCCAAGCCTGACAACATATGTTCAGTCCCTGAAACCTGCTTTTGTAAGGAAAAAGTAAAACTTATATGCATATACACATACAAAATAAATAAATGTAAAAAAAAACCAAACAGAAATATTGCCAAGTCTGTTCTTTTTTTTTTTTTTTTTTTTTTTTTTTTTTTTGAGAAATCATGACCCTTTGCCTCACAACTCTTTTAAGGCAGAATTACCGGCCAGGTCCTTCTATGATGGCAACATTCCATGGTGAGTAAGCTGTGGGTATTTAGAAGCTGTAGCTGCTCAGCTGGTTCATTTTCTCAAGCAACAAAGACAAAGAACAGAAAAACAAGTAAAAAGAAAAATGACAGAGAAATAGTTGCAAGACCGTTGATAAGAAGTTAACTTTTTATTACTTTAAGAACTTTTATGATGAATAAGAAATCTAACATTCCCCAAATAAAATGGCCAAACATTAGTGTGAACACTTTACATACATACAAGAACTACATAAAAAGATGCTTAACTTTACTCTTGAAAAGGGAAAATAAAATTAACAGTCAAAAGTCACGTTAATTGACCAGAAAAACAAAGACATAAAGCCTTTTTGAAAAAGTACAGTGTTGGTGGTGATGTTGGTCAATCTTCCTAGGAAGCATCAATGTAGTAGCATCTACTAAAACTCAAAAGCATGGAGATTAAATGTGATGTTTATATTTTCACTTAAAACTATCCCAGAAAAGCCAATTTCTTAGATTTCTAGCCTTATTTGTTTTCATGGTGTGATGTAATTTATAATTACCTTCTTCTAGTTTGATCCCATTGATCATAAATTCTATGGTGGCAGTGGTTAAGGCTAACTTACAGATTTGTCCACAGTACTTACAATACACAAAGCACTGTTTTCCTCTTTACTCAATAAATATTTGTACAGAAAAAATACCTTTCAAGGCTGGTTCTCACAGTTGATGAAAAGGAGTGGCCATACTCTACTTCTGAAAGCCTCCACAGTCCTTGCCTTTGCCTGGGGCACAAGCTTACTGCCTTTCTACCAGTGTTCTATTCATACCAATGCCAAGAACCAACACCTCTTGTTGGCTTGAGTTCATTTCGATTGGCATTAGGTCAGAAGAGTCCCACATGTTCAGAAACACATACAATCATTTACAAACACCTAAAATCATATATATATATATATATATATATCATATATATATAAAATCATATATATATAATCATATATATATCATATCCAAGATGTACTGTTAACTGAAAAGTGTTCACCCCTGTATATAGTGAGGTATAGTTTCTACAAATGGAATGTGCAGATGTACAAGTTCAGCTTTTACCAATTTCCCTCAACTTCCTTTAGGGCAACGTGTAACAAGTTACAACACTGAATGAAGGTATCCTTCCACTTCATACTGTCCTTCCAGATTCTGGAACCCACTTGACACTGTCAACTCTATGGAGCTTACTAGTGTTTTAGCCTCATAAAGGAAGTTTTCCAAATGGGATAAGTCAGCTTGGGTAGTGCTGAGATATCAGGGTCAGTAAATATCAACGTCCCTATGGACAACAAATGCCTTATTGTAGATCTTAAGTGCAGCTCACTCTGAGGTCTTCCTTAGAAACAAAAGATCTCTTCACATGCTTTACAAACATCTCAGCCCTTATATCTCCACCCTCCACCCCCCCAAGTCTAAATGGTTCTAGTCTACTCTTTGAAGACTTCAGCACCCCAGATCTTCAGCTTTTCTATACTGATTTATGGATAAACTCTGCATCCATTTTAATCAGGATCTGGCCAATAGAATCAAGCTTTTCTTTGAAAACCAGTACATGTTATGAACACACACATTTCAGAATTCAAAACTGCAGCAGACATTTGTTGGTTATCTATCTTCCCTGTCCAACATAGTATTTTCAGATAGCCATGTCCTCCTTATGTAGCCCCCATACTGACCTGACCTCCAGGGCCCCAGAGTAAGTAAGCTATTCTGTTCATTTGGCAACTGAACTTATTTTAAGCAGATATGTAGACTACACTAATCCAGTTAAGACAAAATATTGTTGAGAATACCAAATAAGGAATATTCCTGGCAGTAACCTTGGAAACCTTACAAATATGGAACTGTGATGAGGGGCATGGACTACATAGCCTATGGTGTTATTCACTGGGGGCTGGTAGTTGAGGGTAGGTGCTCTTGAGAAACTGTACACAGGATCCACACTTTCTCTCACCATGATGAAACAAATAGAAAACAAAAATAGTATTAAAATGGTAGGAATAGGTCATTTTGCAGAGCAGTCTTTGGGAGGTGTTCACCATAGTCTACATGAAGTTGGGACATGGTTTTAAAAGATTGATATGGTACTTTGCAAAAATGTAAAGGCTTCTAGTGAGCTTTTCTCTCCTCTATCATGCAAGGTAATTGTAGTTAATGAAGAAGTTGCAGAAAACCCACAGTTCTCAGCAGATCTTGTTTTAAAATGCCTTACATGAAGATAACTAAATACTTCACTAGAAAAACTCATAGAAACACGTGAGAAATATACAAAACTCTGGAAATGAATATGACACCTTATATAAACTGTGAAGCCGCTTACTCCAATGTCTTAAAATAGTGGATAAAACTTTCAGTAACTTTTAGTAATATATACAAAGAAGAAATTACTCTCAAGTACTGCTACGGGGAGAAAATACCTCAACTTCCTAAGGATTGCAGATAAAAATAATAAGCACATTTTTATATCTATTTTCAGACTAAACTAAGCTCTAATGTTCAGAATTTATGAACTCATCTCTTTCAAAACGTGGTTATGAAAGTTCTACTATATCAACAATTTCAGCAATAGTACATATTAACAGATTACTAGAATAGTGTTATCATTAGCCTTGCACAGCATTGTAATTTGCTTATATGCATTCCATTTGGCCAAACCCATGATCTTCCCATTGGCAATAAGTCTGAGCAGAGAAAAACTGTGGCATAGGGTCAGATGAAGAGCAACACTTTTAATTTTACAATGCATGGGGCAGCTGATGGTGCTACTTTCATATTATGAAGAAACAGCACTGCAGCAAAGAAAATGCCCAACCCCTTCAAACAGAAATGCTCTTTCAAGAGATTTGGCAGCTCTTTTATAAGGAAAACCATTCTAAAGAAAATGAGCCATGGAAAAGGAAGATAGAGGAAAAAGCCCAAGTTCTATTAACATTATGCTGGAAACAGTTTCCCAGACTTTTTAATTATAAAGCCGAGTTTCTTTAACCAAGTCTGTTAACTACAGCCAGTGGGACACAGTCCATTGAGTCCAAATAGGTCCAAATGGTTACTTTCTTGGGTAATGCTCTCAAGTTCTTTTTGCTCCCCTAGGCCAAATGACTCCAAAAGGTAAAATCCTCCTGGGGATGGGGATCACAGTAGCAGATGTGGATGGGGGCACACTTCTGTTTAGTAGTACTAACTTTTGTTTTGCAAAAATACCTTGCATGTGCACACAACCATGAAAAGATACAGAACACAGTTTGCTGTTGGGGGGGGAGGGGTAAATCAGGGACCGGAGTGACATTTGCCTTTTTATTAATTCCTGGAAATGTTTGTAAAATTTCTAATGACATTTCAAAAAGTGTTTTCCTAAAGTGCTTAGTAACACTGTAAGTTTATTATCACTGGCAAATGGTAAAGCCATTTACTATTATTTTAGCCATACAAAACCCTTGTTAAAAGCCCAGCAGTGCAACACACAAGTCCTCATTTGTCATCTTTCCCTTTTGTCTTTCTGTATACCATTTCTCGAAAACTGGCTAGGATCTTATTCTCTCTCTTCCGCCTCTCTTCTTGGTTAAAGGATGCAAGAGCTCGTTTCTCATCAGCACTGTAGATCTGGTTCTCTTTACGCAGTCTTACGGCTTCCATTCGGCGGTGCCTGCTACCACTCATGACGTAACCTGAACATTCAAATGAGGCGATCTCTTCACTCGTCAACCCAATTTCACCCCTTCGTGGGATGCGCTTTCCAGCTTTTACGTACTCAGCCATAGCTGCACCTTCACCTGGAAGCAGCGCGTGGCCATAGTTCAAAGGTTTCTCATCTTGAGAGGTATGTATTACAGGTGCTTCTGGGCCTATTAAGTCCATGGCATCCGCACTCACCGATTGTTCCATCCACGCGTCTTCTGGCAATTCCCTTTCTAAAGCTTTGCAGCTTACGTCACTGTATTCTTTTTTAGCCCTCCTCTTCTTCTTGGGTTGTTTAGCCCGGTGTTTCTTTTTCTTCTCTTTCTTCTTGGTTTTAAATTTCTTTCTATCACCACCAGAGCTAGAATGAATAGAGTCAGAATCGCTGTCATTATCACAATACTTCCTATGTTTCCGTTTGGAAAGCTTCTTTCTTCTCTTTTTTGAATGTCTGGTCTTTGACCTTTTTTCTTCATTGGTGAAATCCGAACTGCTGCTCTTCTGAGTCTTCACCTCATCTTCAGCGGGGGTATGTTCATCAGAATCTGGCTCAGCAAACTTGGGTGACAATCCCCATACCTCCGGTGCTCCCAGCTCTCCAATCCTCTCTCTTTCCTTCAACCTCCTTAGCCTATAGCTCTCCTCCTTTTCCTTTTCCTGGTCCTCCGCCCACAAACGGTCTCCTGCATAGTGGTGGTAGCGGTAGCCGCCACCGATGGAAGAGGAGGATGAAGGGGCAAACGTGCGGATCCCTGGCGGTGGCGGCCGCTCTCCAGACCTGGGGCGGCCGTCGGCATGGACTAGGCGAGGCCCCTCGAACGCGCCGAGGTGAAGGCCAGAACCGCCTCCCCGAGGGGATCGTCGAGTCTGTAACACTGACAACGGGCTGTCCGAGCCACGTCGTCGTTTCTGAGAGACCAGAATGTCCTCATTAGGGCGGGATCGGGACACAGGCGACATGGGTCCACTTCAAACCGCCAACGCCGCCGCCGCGGTTACTCCAAGAAGCCACATCATGGAGCCCGTAGGGCTAGGGCGCACTAGGAACGGCGCAGGCGCACTAGGAACCGGCGGTCACACGCTCTAGATTCAATTCCGCGGTGTGGACCAGAGCAGACCTAGTTTGTACTCAGGTATCCAGCCTTTGATGGAAGCAGAAGCAGCCAGGAGGCTGCGCAAGAGCTCCGCTTCCATTCAATTTTTCACGATTTACATTCCCTACATTGAATCCTGGGGGGGAAACAAAAGGCATTATCGTTAGTGAGTCCTGCTGCATGCATGCATGTATATATATTTTTTCTTTATTATTATTATTATTATTATTATTATTATTATTATTACTTTTTGAGAGAGTGTTTCTCTGTGTTGTTCTGGCTGCTCTGGAACTCACTTTGTAGACCAGGCTGGCCTCGAATTCACAGAGATCTGCCTGCTTCTGTCTCCTGAGTGTTGGAATTAAGGGAGTGAGCCACCCTGGTCCAGCTATTTTTTATTATTAAGTGGAGCATATGCAGCCCCAGCTGGCTTGGACCTTGCTAAGCAGCAAAAGATGATTTTGAACTTCTGATCCTCCAGTCTCCGCCACTCGAACACCAAGATTAAAGGTTTTCATCACCACACCTGTGATGGCTAAGAAACTTTAACTCTGTACCAGTCACCCCCTTAGTAGCTGTTGATCTTTGCCCTAAAGCTCCCATGGGCTCCTAGTGGCCTGCATCCTCTCCAAAATGATCTTACTGCTGTGAGATTAAGAATGAAAGAATGTATGCCTGCTCTGAGATAATTAACCGCTTGCCCTGTCTTTATGCAAACCACTTATCCCCGTGGAAAAGGGAAGGAAGAAGTTTTCTCTATCCCCTGTAACAAAAGTGAAAGACAGTTAAAGGGAGTAGAACAATGTTCCCACACAGCTGTAATTCCATAGAATCCAGATAATTGTAATGCCCTCCTTAAACACTCTTCCCCTAGCCATCTATCATTCTGGATTTGGTTATAAGGCCGTTGTCCTGTCTGCTACCAGTAAGAATAAATTCATTTGATTTTAACCTAAACTTGGGTTGAGTCTTGTCTTTGCCCATGGATTTGAACCCTGTAACATATCCATCTCTTCTCTTGGATTTTTTTGTTTTATTGCCATGTGGCTCACCATTCCACTTTATTTCTGCCTCCATTTTTTTCAGCTTAGTGAAGGATTCCTAGTCATAGTAGCTTCCTGCTGTTTCTGTTGCCATGTTCCTGCCAAACTGGACTGTACCCTCAAACTGAGAGCTAAATACATTTTTCTTAAGTTACTTATTTATCACAGCTATGAGAAAGTAATTAATGCCACTGGAATATTAGTTAATTTTGTCACGTTGTGACTAGATTCCCCAACAGCTTGGGAAGAAAGACTTATTTGTGGCTTCTGGTTTTAGGTGCATTTTAGTCCACCATGGCAGGTAGGGAATGGTGGCAGTAGTATGAGGCAGGGGCTCTTCACATGTTGGCTAACTAGGAAGCAAAGAGAAGGAACACAGAGAGAATACCTAAGGGCAAGACTTCAAAGGCTTGCTTCATCTAGTTAGGCTTCGCCTCATATTTTTTTTTTTTACTCCCACCCAAATTATGCCATCATATACTGAATCCATCAAGACATTGTACTGCTTGTGGGTTATAGTCTTGGTGACAACAGTCTAGAAGGATTGTGCATCAGAATCCTCTCAAATTGACAAGATAATATCGCAACTGGTTAAGCCAGAGAGGGGCTTCACTCTGGGCTGAACCACCACCTCCTTTCCCATCTCTTTTAGATCTACTTAATAGTTTTAGAATGGAATTATTCATTAATGAAAGAAGGTAGGATTTTGCAATTAAGCAAATTACTATGAAAACTTTTCTTTTTGCAAGTCTATAGGGAACGTTACATTGGATCCCCACATGCCTCTAATCCAGCTTCAACAATTACCATGTTTTTGCTATTTGTTTCCTTCTTTCTGTTTTGCTGAGTATTTGCTTCAACAAATCTCAGACATTGTGATGGCTCATCCATATACACAGGCATTGCAATATAAAGTTCTAATGAAGGACTTTTTTTTTTTAAATGATAGGCAGACAGGAGAGATGTCTCAGTAGTTCAGATCATTTGCTGTTCTTGAAGAGGACCTGTGTTGGTTAGTTTTTGGCAACTTGACAAAACTAAAGTTATCTAAAAGGAGTGAATCTCAATTTTTAAAAATCCCTATCATACTGACCTGTAGGCAAGTATGTGTGGCATTTTCATGACTGATGATTGTGAAAGAGCTAAACCCACTATGGACTGTGTCATCCCTGGGCATGTAGTCCTGGGGAACATAAACAAGCAAACAGAATAAACCAGGAGAGTAAGCCAGTAAGCAGCATTCCTGCAGGATTCAGCAGTATTACCCCAAGGATTCTGCTTCAGTTCTTGCCTCCAGGTTCTTGCCTTGAGTTCCTGCCCTGACTTCATGATGGACTGTGTTTGGAACTTGTAATCCAGATAACCACTTTCCTCCCCAAGTTGTTTCTGGTCATGGTGATTATCACAGTAATAGAAACCCTAACTATGACAGGGGTCCAGGGGACCTGATGTCCTCTTTTGGCTTGCACAAGTACCAGCACACTTATGGCATACACACACAGGTAAATAAAAATAAATGTCATAAAAATGATAGTATCATTTTAACAACTAAATTGGCAGTAATTGCTTAATATTACTGAGTTCTAGTTTTCTGCATTATCACAACAGTATCTTTCCACAGTGTTACAGGCAGCTTACCAGAGATGATCACTCAGACACAGCCTATAGTCAATTAAAGTCTTTATTCAGCTGACTGGGACAACACCCAAGTAAATGTTCATTGGACCTAATGTGTGGCCCCTAGAGTTCCAGAATACCAGGTTTTTAAGGACAGAGACCTCATCGAGGAATCTCCCTAGGCAGCTGCAGTGGGGGCTTTGCAGAGTAAGCAGTTTGAAGCAAACAGAAACTAAGATAAGGTGTTAGCCAACTGGAGGGGAATTCTGCTTAAACAGACAGTTAAGATAAAGGGTTAGCTGGAGAAGGTTCTGCACAAACAAGCAATTTCAGCAAAGGTTAGGCAAGTAAGATAGGACATCCTGACCTTTGGTTCCTAGAATAGAGTTGGGTAGTTTTCCATGGGCTACCCCAAGGAAATCAGGTTCTAGTTAAACATGGAAACAACCTCAGCAGGAACAGAAGATGGAGGAAACTGTGATAGTGACCTTGCCCTGTCACAACAGTTGCTTTGTTCTAATCTGGGTCAAACAAACTTTATCGTTGCACCTGGCTGATCTGTCTATTGGATTCCTTTGAACTGAAGACAGTCTGTCTTTCTCAGGTTTGGTAGTCTCTGCATCGTCTAACACTTGTGCTAGTGTGTCTATCAGGGCTGCAGAGACATAGGAAGGAATGAAGTAGGAAAGGGATGTACCTGAGGCTGGGGACTAGAGAGTTTCTGGGAGTGCACAGAGGCAACTTGGATGCTTGCCACACATAAGCTTTGTTGCAGAAGAGCTCCGAGGAGTTGGGATTCTAGATATTTGGGCACAAGCCTTAGCAGTTAGCTGCACTGGCGCTTTGCTGCCTATAGTGTATTGTGAAGTGGTGGGAGGCAGGATCCAGGGTCAGGGTCCAGATGAGTTTCTCTCAGGTAGTTTGGCCTGGAGAGGGAGAGAAGGGAGCAGCAGAAAGAGGGCAGGACAGGGCCATCTATAGTCTCCAGATAAGCGAGTGTCCTGCTTCTTTTGTGGTTTCTAAGAGATACTAAATTTCCTACCATGTCCCACCTTTGCACTCTGCAAAGTCTACTTCCCAGCTGAAATTTTGTGTCAGCATTGTGACAACTAGGAAGACAAGCTTGACATCAGAAAGAATCAAAGACCCCTGGTCACTTACTTCCTGGACTTAAACATCCACACCTTTATGACCCTGGAGCCATAATCCTTTCCCAACAATCCTCCCTTGAGTGGAGGTACTAATAGCTTCACTAATGAGTTAATTCGGACAGAATCACTGAGAAGAGCATCCTAGAGAGCCCAGGAAGTGGCTTGGGTTCCCACAACATTTCCTGTGCTTCAGCCAGCCTGTGGATGCAGTTTATTTGCCCCGGGGCATTCATTGGGAATATTTATTGTGGGGTTAGGGTGAGGTGCAGAGGAGGACTCGACAAGGGCAAGCATTGTTGGAGATATCTGTGCAGCTGTGTCTCTGGGAACCAGGGCAGGAGAAGGGTCCATCTTTAGAGAATCCTTTTAGGGTTGGCGCAAAATGGCTAGAGCTGGGAGCAAGCGCATCCTTAAACTCTCGATCTGCAGAAGCGGGCACTGGGCTTCTGGTGGTGAAGGTGAAACAGGAAGAGGCTTCTCCTTTGGAAGAGGAGGCCAGTTGGCTTGGCAGCCCTGGGCGCGACCTCTCGGGACAGCATTTCCTTGCCTTCTGCTACCCAGAGGCGGCCAGCCCAGGCAGGCACTGAGCCAGCTCCGAGAGCTCTGCAGGTAGTGGCTGTGGCCAGATATGCACAGCAAGGAGTAGATCCTGGAGCTGCTGGTGCTGGAACAGTTCCTGACCATCCTGCCAGGGGAGCTGCAGGCCTGGGTGCGCGAGCAGTACCCCGATAGCTGGGAGGAGGTGGTGGCGCTGCTGGAGTACTTGGAGAGGCAGCTGGATGAGACACCTCCACAGGCAGAAGGAACGGGTTTAGGGTCTGAGACCTCAAGCAAGATCCAAGGGAAGCATTGCTTAGAGCCCGCGAAGTCTCAGTCTGAACTGGGAACCTGAGGCAACCAGCGAAGTGACCTGGATCCCTCAGAATAGTTAAAAACACAAAGGAAAGTACAAGGCTTGGGAAGAACTCAGTCTTAGTGAAATCGGGTAGAATGTGCTAAGCAGAGTGGTGGAAGGTTAGATATGGACTTCTTAACTCGTGTGCTGAGTAAGACCCAAGGACAGGTTTGAGCACAGC